TCGAATTAGTTAAACAAATTTATTTAAAAAAAAAACTTGTATTAAATATATTTAAAAATTAAATCTAAAATCTCAATCGCAAACAAAATTCATTTTAAATTACACATTTGCTAAAGTATTTATAGCTCTCTCAACAAGTAAATCTACATTACTACAATCTACATTCTCATCTAAAAAAAAACTTTCGTTACTAGTATCATCATTGGCTTCGTTAGCCTCTTCGTTATCTGAATTTTTGGGTTTTGTCTTTTCATCTAATGATTCCAATGTTTTTTGAAAAGCCTTACAATTTTTCTTGATTCTATTTACGAGGTAATCGATACAATATCAACATCGGCTTCCTAATTCAAAGAAAAAACATTCAAAATGATAAGCATATCCACAAATAAGAACACAACCTACCTCAAAAGAATCTATGCAGCTTTCTAAGTCACAAAATCGATCATCATGTGAAATATGTGCCATATTCCAAGCCATTAGCAGTATGCTTATATTGACTTGAGTTTTTAGTGTTGGAAATTCATCCGCTTTTAGCATCGAATATGTATCAGATGAAATAACTTTCGACCCACCAACATTCCTGTAAACATTTGTAAAAAAATTTAGTAGAAAAAGCGTGGTACGCTTTTCAAGATATTTTAGCTGTTTTGCAGAATATCTGATGTTATGACTTTCGGCAAATGCATTTGTAAAAGAATTATCATCACGCATCTAATCAATTATTCGTGCTTCTTGAATAATCTGATCTGTAGTGTTTGATTCATAAATTCATCGTCGAAGTGAGCTGTAAAAATTTTCGACGTAGTAATCGTTAAAGATATAGATGGAATCTGTAAGAGTTTGTAAAATAGGGTGGTCAGTACTGAACCAGTAAAAGACATCACTTAAAAACATCAATAGCAGTTTATTATAATGTCTCCGTTGATACTGATGAAAAACTGTCCAAATACGAAACATTGCTTCTAAGTATGCTTCCCAATTTCTGCTTCGAAAAATAATGGAATAAAAATCCAAAACCAATGGGACAATATAATCTAACAAATTTATAAGATATCGGGCTTCAGGGTTCTTGGAACGTTCAAATTTTTGTATTACTATAGAATGGACTCGAGACCATCCCTGATATGTTAGCTCTAAAATTAAATTAATTTTATAAAGTTTTGGCTTTTTTGCCAATACCTTATTATGCCCAAAAACAGCATGAAAAAGTAAATCAAAAAAATCATAATTTAACAAAAAAACTGTCTCACGACTATTCAAGAATACATGCAAAGGACCGATCATTGGAATGATACATAAAATTTGCTCTGGTATGTTAGAAGAATCTCCAGATTTAAGATGACAGGTGACAGCTGTTAAGTTGTCTAGGGTAATCCATAGGTGCTATTAAAACTTGTTACTTCATATAAGTTTCCACTTCAAAAATCTTTATTAAAGATTTAATTGCATTTACGTAATCTTCGGTTGAATGAAGGGATCCTTTTTTTAAATCAACAAGTTTCGTATTTTCCATACTTTGATCTATTCATCGTTGCTCAATTCTATCATCATAGCTGTGAATTAGAAGACGTTCAACTCATTCGTCGTGAGTTTCTTCCACAAGCAAATCAGTAAATACATTTTTTCATTCTGTATAGCTAATCCATAAATAGGAAAAAAAAAAGTAAATCAGCATTCTCAATAATTATATTTGAATCAATACCCTTTTTATTATGGATACTCTTTTCTTGATTGGGGTTATTAAACAGAATTGATAAAATTTCGGGCAATGCTTTTAAGAATATTGTAATAAAATATGCGATATCATGAGTGCTGGTTGTATCGCTATGACAGGATTTATAAATATTATAAAAGTCATCTACATTCAGTACAAGCAAGCTTTCGATCTGTCAACAAATAATATGCATAGTTAGTTTTTTTTTTTTTTTTAAAAAAAAAAAGCAGAATTATTTATAATTTATATAATTACATTTTCTGCTAAAAATGTTTCTACTGTTCCTGTATGTGCTTGTATATGTCGAGCCTTTTGTCTTGTGATAGTTTCACGTCTTACCATCAAGCCTGCACCAGCCAAGGTCTTAATCATCGATGAAGATGTTCCAGATGCATCTAATAAAAGCCCAACTTCTGCTTTAATACTGTTAATAAATTTATTGTTAAGACCTGCAAGAAAATAGCAAAATAAAACCAATCGCTTTTTGTTTTTTTCATTAGTCATATTGCTCTTAGCTTGTGGATTTGTTCCAGCAACCAATTGATCAAAAAACCCCTTTAACGATGGTTCAGATTTTTCGAGCATTTTTTTAAACTCATTAGGATCAAGAATAGGTTTTTCGTTATATACATGCTGCCTTGTGTATAACACCCCTGCTATTAGTTTAATCTTCTTACTCAGGAAATCAACTCTAAAAAAAATGATAAATAAAAATTAAAAAAAGATAAAAAATAAAAATAAAATAAAAAAACAAATAAATAAAAAAAACAAGTAAAAAAAAATAAAATAAAAGCGATTAAGGAATACATTAACAAACAAAAGCTTTTACCCATCTAGTTTCGTTTCATCAAGCTTTGCACATACTTCATGATATGCAGATTCCAATTTCTGGAATTCAGATTTAGAGTAAATAATATCGCCACTTAAAACATACGACCTACCTTAAAATTATTTTATGTTTTCTTTTAAAATCTTTTTCTTCGGTAGTGGATAATCGGATGAATTGGTGTATTCTGGATCAATATCTGTTCTATATAGACAATGTTGACACATCA